TGTGTGTGTGTGTGTGTGTGTGTGAGAGTGAGAGAGAGAGAGAGTGTGTGTCTGTATCCACTCCTATGAATTCCAATGCTTATCCATAGACATAGAAGAAAAAGAAGCATGTAAGCAAGTCATGGGGTTATAGAGTTGCTACAGAGCCTATTTGAATATGAATGCCTCGCTGTTGGGGCCACTGACGTTAATTATGGCTCATTACAATTGGCTGTCCTCCTTCCAGTGGCAGAGTGATAGCGAGGCCTTTGTTCCTCAGTGCAGCGCACCTCACTTCATTTGTCAGACATCGCTTTTGCCAGTGGGAAGATACAATTAAGCCGACTTCCTGAGAACACTGCATGAACATAAGGTGTCTTTTCTGTTGAGCAGACAGCTGAGAAAAAAAGTGGGTTTGTTATGCCACGAGATAATAATCACAGCGGTCATCGTCGTGATGACAACGTGAGATACCTGGTGCAGATAATAAGGAGCTGGAGGTCACACGGTTTTATTGTGAGAATATTCCTTTTTAAATAATGGCCACCAGTTCTACTTCTGTTCAGCTGTTATTGATTAATCTCACCCATTTCTTCCTCATGGGTGAGAGACGTGATGAGTAAGTTTCTGTGTAATCGTAAAGCTTGTTTTCTCCAGAGGGGCCTTAAACCCATCTGACCCCGTGGCCCCGCTCAACTACAGACAACGTAATTACAAGACAGATAAACACGGTAATAGAGTGCCACTGTTTTTACAAGGAGGGAAATTCTGAGGGGAAAAGGCCAAAGTTCTGCTCAACTGAAAACATGTCCAGAACAGCTCAGACTGTACATTACATTAGAAATAAAATTTAAATTCGAATTTAATTTGGCACTGAAGCATTTAGTGGCCAAGCGTCCAATTACTTTTCGATTATCTCAATTTGGGCACCTTATGTTTAAAGGGCTTGTCTCGTGAACTGTCCTCTCTGCTCTATGTTTTTATATGAACCTACTCAAATGAAAGCTTTGTACTTAAATGAAAAATCTATTATTTTATTTCAAGTTGAGGAGAAGAGACTTATATGAGGATTTCAGGATTGTAGTCTTATTAGTAAAATGTTGCCAGTTTCTAATGACTTCTTCTGGAAGTCGATTACACCTTTTGTAGCGTAGGTCTATTTCTGCTTGTTTTTATTCCTAAATCTCCTCTTGTTGGCGTCAGTCCCAGCACCATGATGACGAGAAGCGAGCTTTGAGCAGAGAGATCATTGTTCTCAACAACCACCTGATGGAGGCCAAGCTCACCATCGAGAAGCTCCAAGAGGACAATGTAAGTAAAAAATAAAAAACACAACAGAGGTGATGCACACCTCTTGTTTTTTTACCTCAACCTTTGACCGATCAGCCCCAAAAGTTGATCAGCTTCATCAAAAGTTCACCCAACATCACTCTCTCGGGGTTCACAGTGGACTCTTGACCGTCTCTGCTGCACGTCATTCTCAGTTACTGTCACAATTATAACTGTCCCCGTAAGACAATGTCAGGTAGGAACTAAAATGCAACACATAATTAATAAGAGGCTTAAATGTAACTCGATGTAGTGTATAAATGATTGCAATCGTTTCATCGCTGTAAATAATAATAAAATAATTATAAGACAAATATCAAAATATAAAATAAAATTTGAAATCCTAAATACTATATTAGAATTATTCTCACTGAAATATACACAGTACAGTATCACAGTATGTTGCAAAGCTTAATTAGCAACATATATGGAAAACTGAAGTCATCAAAATAATGCCATAAATATGATTATAGTAAATATAGTCACAGAGGGACAAACAGAAACATTATTCTCTGACGACAATAATCCCTGACTGTTCTCTCGTCTTGTTGCTTTGACGTTGTTCTCCACAGGATCTGTACAGAAAAGACTGTAACCTGGCTGCTCAGCTCCTCCAGTGCAACAAGTCTCTTTACAGAGCCCAGCTCTCTGAGGTGAGTCTCAGACTGACTTTTAAATGTCATTTCATCTTTTATTCAGACTCAAATCAAAGTCTGAATAACAAAATCTTCGGTTTGACCAGTTTCTTTGGTTTTATTCAGAGCTCAATATAATCCGTATCAGTTTAAGTAGAATATTTAAATCACATCCACATCCAACAAATGCTAAAACCCATTTGAGCCTCAAGCTTTTTTTCTTGACTTTACACGTTAACTCAAGAAATTTCATTCATTAGAAAAAACAATCATTTTTCAATATAGTGGGATCCAGAAATATCTGGTGGAACGGCTTTGATTTGTGGGCGAGAAGAGGTGATGTGAGTGAGGTGTTTCTCGAGCGGCACTAAGTTGGATTTTTCAGCTCATGACACGAGACGGGAGGAGAAAAAAGTGCTGTGTTACTATAACTGAAGGTCATCTCACCCTCTGTGAAGCAGAGGAGATAAGAGACGAGACTCTGCGCAGCGATGACGACTGCAGGTCACTGCAGGAAGGGCAGAGACTGAAGAATTAAGTGATTTTTTTCCAGGGGCCGAAAAACCCTCTGCTGAGTCCTGAGAGAAAAGAGAGAGACAAAGTTTTAAATTTTTTTAAAGCTGATGTTATAGAGCTTCACCAGTAAGACATATACGCAGTCATATTATAAATACAGTAATACCATATTAAATAAGTCCAAATTAAAAAATGAAAAATCTTTGTCATTTCATATTTTAATTTGCACTGTAATTCCTATCCCTGTATAAAAACTTTCTGAACTAGAACAGCGTCTTTTGTAAACCTGCCTGTTTGCAATGGGCTGTCTGCTTGGTGAGTGTTAAAGGTTCAGTGTGTAGAATTTAGTGACATCTAGTGGTGAAGGTGCATGTTGCAGCTGAACACCCCTAACCTCACCCTCCCCTTTCAAACATGAAAGAGAACCTGTGGCAGCCTTCAGCTGTCATAACAACTCAAAAGGTTTAGTTTGTCCACTCTGTTCTACTGTAAAAAAAACAAAACATGGCGGCCTCCCTAGAGAGGACCCGCTCCGGATGTAAATATAAAGTCACAATCACAATTCTGTCCATGTAGGTTCAGAAAGACAGAAAGAGAATTATGGAATTACGAGATAGATCGTGAATAATAAACTATTCAAAGAGGTAAAACTGCGATATCAGTCAAATTGCAAATATACAGCACTCCATGCCGTCGTCATGGTACCCTGCTTGTGCTTGTGAAAGGTGATTCATGTTTGTATTGATGAGTGTTGTAACACCAGTCCAGCTTGGCACCACTTTTCACTGCGTCAGCCCTGGGCCGTGTGCCTCGTCCATGTGACACGAGTAGATTTTAAAGCTGGCATGTGTCCACAAGGTAAAAGAATGCACCCCCCCCCCACCCGTTTTACCCATATAGGTGAATGGAAATATCAATGCAAACTGCATTTGGTTACGTAATGCACCCCCACACACAAAGACTGCACGCACTGGCTTTGAGCGGTATAGGATCTGTTATGGAGTGAAAAACTGTTCCGCAGGCTCACTGCCAAACATAATAGAGGTCAGAGGTTATATATGCACTCAGTGTATGTCCATCGTTCCACTGCTCCTGTGGGTGGAAGCTAATCGAAAGCGTATTGATGAATGGTGCTGCAGCATTTTGAGGAGTGCGGTGGCTCTTCAGCGCCCACTGAAGTGCATTGGTCATTTGTTTTGCTGCAAAACAAGCACAGAAGGGGTGTATATAAAACAACTAGGCGCGGGTTTCTGAATGCCACGTAAAAGCTAATTGTGATCTTGTTCAAAACAAATGAATAAATGTGTGGACAGTAATGAAGTGCCTTTTAGTTTGGTCCAAGTTGCGATAGAACTGTTGAAAAATGCATTTGTATATTCTCTGAGGTGTTTGTCTTTTCTCTATCGACTAAGTTATAATTAACTCTCCTCTCGTTGCCAATTAGGAACAAGCGACTAGATCCCTGTTGATGATGTGCTGCAGTAGGCTTAATGCTTGTTGCTATGGAGAGGCACAGATAGCGGATGTAGGTTTTTTTTTTGGGGAGAAATGCTCAGAATAGAACAATGTCTTTCTTTCTTTCAAGGAGGGCGACTCAGTTCTCCTGCATTCTCACTTAAATTATATTTCTCTGTTCTTGAGGCTCTTATCACTGAAAATGATCCGTTCATTTTTTCCCCCCACCGTGTTCACAAACACACATGCTGTGGTTATATAAATCACCCGCTGTACTATATGACATACTGACACACATAGTGCAGAAACTACAAGTACAAACTACAAGATAAAAATACACATATCAAGAAGAATACTATAATGAGAGCAACAGATATCTTTCTATTCATATGCACCCATCGGGTATAGATGAAGTGCACAGTTCTTCAGATAAAGGAGACTTATAATGTTCATATTCAGGTTCATAGTTTTAATGTGGGCTATTAGTTGAAAAGGTTTACATACTCTAATGTTCAGGAAACTCTTTCCTCAGACTGTCCATTGCTACAGCTCCTCTTTTCAGCCTCTGCCTGAAACAATTGATTTTAGCTCCTGTCTCTTTAAGGCCCTCCTTCCTGATAAATGCTCTGATTGGTCGTCCGGCCCACTCTGTTGGGATTGGTCAACCGCTTCCAGTGCATGTAGGAAATGACGGCATCTGCTCTCACTTTACCTTACTTTTTTAGGGGTCTTGCCAGACTTGCCACTATGTGTGCAACCCTTTAAATATGTATTTCCCCTGCCCTTCTCTTTTCTCTGACATTCCAGCTGCCTGCTGATTTTCAGGAGCGACTGACCATGCACATGGAGGATTCTCCTCTCTGTCACACCTATCCGGACACCGTCCCAGCCTCCCTCATTGCCAAAGTACTTGAGAAGCCAGACGAGGCCTGCAGCAGCAGCCAGGCCTCCCGTTCCCCAAGCCCCCAAACCCAGGAACAAGCTTTTATTTTGGAGAGCTTGGGCCCAGGAGGGCGTCTGGGGCTCCGTGCTGCCTACAAATCTGACCTGTACGCCAGCGACACAGCCCTGTACTGCCCTGATGACCGGCATCGTGAGCGGAGGCCCAGCATGGATCTCCACGGTCAGAGGAAGCTGCTGTATGGGCCCCAAAACTCCACCGACAGCAACCCAGAGGAGGGATCAGTTGGGTTGAGGGCCGGTTTCTCCCAGGAGCACTTTGCTAAGTTCCAAGCCACACTGCGTGCAGGGTCGAGCTCCTACTCCAGCTTCAGTGGTGGGGGATCTGAGGACAAAGGCAATGGTGCTCCCAGCAGTGTAGCTTCCTCCCCTCGCCATCATTCCCTCTACATGGAGTGGAGAGATGCAGGGGACTATGAGAGAAAGAGTGACTCATCCTGGGAGAGAGACAGTCCAAGAGGCTTCGCCAACGCTCATCCCTTCCAGCAGACAGAGCTGAGCCACCACCAGAACGGCAGCTCGCCGGTCTACAGCCGCACCATGTCCTCCTGTTTCAGTGAGCCCTATGAGCCACTCCCTCCCTCCTCGTCCCCAAGTGTTGCCTACGGAGACAGTCGTCGAGGCAGTACATTAGCTCCAGAGGAGGACGAGCTGATTGGTCGATGGAGACAACTTAGTGTGGAGGACTTAAGTGCCCACGCCTACCGCAGCCCAGGCCGGGCTTCACCTTACAGCTTCTCGGAGCAGCACTTCTCTGTGCGGCCCGCTAAGATTCGCCTTGGGCCGCTCTACAGCAGCTTCCAGGAAGGGGCTGACTTTTATCATCAAGGAGCGGGCGCCATGGACCCTGCATGGGTGGCCACCAGCCCCAGCCCTGAATGCAGCCCAGGGGTGCGGCAGGCACACAGCCAAGCCCACCTGTACCGAAGCGAGGACAGCCAGGAGTCAGAGCACAGCCTCTACCACTCAGGGAGCTCCAAAGACAGGGAGGGCAACGTGGCAGCTGGTGGCCAGGGCACGGATTACGTTGACCCCAGCCCCAACAGCTCCACTGAGTCTCTCCACCAGAGGTCCATGGAGATGGCCGCAGAGCTGCAGCACTACCAAGTAGAGATGCACAGCCTGCCAGCACAGGTGGGCCAGTCGCCACCACCGGCTCCACCCCCTCCTCCTCCATACAACCAAAAATTTGGCTCGCTGGGACTTTCCAGGAAGGACAGTCTGACCAAGGCCCAGCTTTATGGAACTCTTCTGAACTGATGGACTTTTCCCATCAGGTTCCTTTTTTGACAGGGTTCTAGACACAAGGCCCTGGTGTGCACCTTCTGTCAGAGCAGAACCACTTTGGAAGAAAATGGTTTGAATAAAAACCAGGAGTTAAATAACCCAGCACCAAGAACCTGTTACTACTGCTGGTTATTTAAAAGCTTGTGGATCGCAACAGTTAACACCACGACTATCCAGACCAAGTATAGTGACATAGTCATGTGAGGAGATGGAATTGGGCTGACTTGAGAAGTGGAGCTCAAGCAGCACTTACATTTGTATTGTACTGTATTTAAATTTACACCTGTATAAATATATACTTGTAACTACAAATTGAGTGATATATTTTGTATGTGGCTGTTAGCAAGAGATACTGTACATCCAAAAACAATCCAACAAATCTTGATAAACCTGGAACTTGCACATGAATTAAAAAAACTGCCAATTCTATATTTGAAAACTCAGAGGTATATTAAGTGAGAATTGACTTATAGATTAGCTTAGGTCATTATTTTTAAATTGACTGAAACGGCATTGGCCTTGTGAGGATTTAAACGTGAGTGTTAAACTTAAGAGAACAAATGAATCACTAAAATGAACAATACATTTAGTTTTCCTGTTGATTGAATTTGACAGTATTGATGAGTGTTATATTGTTATTGATGGAACGTATTGAGATCTGTCTGAACAGTCGGTATTACGTTATTTCTGCTTCTATATTTCACAGAAAGGTTTTCTTATTCCCCCATTCTACCTCAGATTTGGATGCCCACAACCCCCCCCCCCCATTAAGCCACTGTAAGTTTGTTTCTTTGACGACAATGCATGTTTATATATTTTGGTTGTTTTATTCACCTATTAAAGCACAAACTACACATATGAGCTCGGAGCCTTCCTTTCATGTTCTCGTTCAGCCGTGTGGGGATTTGAAATGTGAGAGCGCAAGCGAGAGACATCGTGTTCAAGCGTTGTCTGTGATCAGTTGTTTTTGGGATAATGACTCGTCTGCTCAGCGTAAAGTCGAGAGACTGAACTGAGAGACAGACCCTTCATCACTCAAACTCTCACATTGCTGCAGCCATGTGGTGCGTGCCTGCTGAGTCACTGTATGAAGCCCTGCTTTATTACAATTTTGAATTTAGATGTAGGTTAGTGGAGGATTTGTTTTTGCCATGATCAGCAAACTTAAAACAGAGAGAAAACTGATTTGTGTTTCCCAGAGAGGCATCCAATTAACATCAATTGACTTCAGATGAGACAATTGAAGATTTTTATGGTGGGAAATGCAATTTTCTGACTTTTAAATTGATTTATTGTGAAAATAATCAGTGGATTGATCAATAATGAAAATAACGGTCGATTGTTTTTACTCCACTCTGTATTCAACATCCTTTACAAGCTGTGGTTTTATTATCATATATAGGACATTGAGTCATCGCTGGAATTTTCTTGTATTTATTCTTGTATATCAGAATTTCACATGATAAATTATTGCTTCATCTCCATTCACTTCTCTCGTCCTTGATGGGTTAAGAGAGGATGTAAATATGAGAATGAATCCATCCACAGGAGGGAGCCACACTTCAGCTTCAGCAGCAGCATGTCGAGGATCTGCCTTCTCAACCTTTATTGTTCCAGCTGAGGCATATGAGCAAGGTTTTATCCAGGTGAAAAGTAAGACACTAACTCGGGTCCACTCTTTAGAAGGTCATCAGCCATCAGTTTTACAGGCTCATTTTTTACTCTCATCATCTCTCTGCACCACACTCTAAGCACACTTTAGCAAATATACTTAATTTACACACTTATTACAAGATGACACAATGTCAGGCCATTAATTATGTTATCCCAAAGGTAGCAACTGGTCTTTACACAAGCCATCTCTCCGCGTACAGTCAATGTGAAGCTGCTGGGGATTAATTATCTTGTCCGAGAACGCATGAGTCCCCCTGAGGAACCATCAGCAGAGCAGGGCTGTGCTTAGTCAGTGAGTCCAACCATCCTGCTGCTTACGTCCCACAGTTTCTTGGCTGCCTGGTCATCTGTAGCTTTGGCCATCAGCTCCTCCTCCTCGCAGTTAGCGAAACACTTCCCCGACACTCCCTCCACCTCTGGGGAGCAGGTCAGATAGAGGGGAGTCTGGGCCCCCTCCAGTGGACTCTTGAAAAAGATCAGTGAAGCGAGGTAGAAGAGCGGCTTTGCCAGGAAAGGGATTTGAACGTGCCTGCCGAGCCTGGTCCTCACGATGCCCGGGGTGAGAGCGTTCACGGTGACCCCCGTGCCCTCCAGCCGACGAGCCAGTTCGAGTGTAAACAGCAGGTTGGCCAACTTGCTCTGGCTGTAGCAGAAAGACTTGTTGTAGTCACTCTCGCTGTTCAGGTCATCGAAGTTGATGTGGCCGTACTTGTAGAGCTTCGAGGAAACCACGACGATGCGGCTGGGAGCTGACGTCTTCAGGAGGTCCAGCAGGAGGTGGGTGAGCAGGAAGTGACCCAGGTGATTCACACCGAGCTGCATCTCGAAACCATCCTCTGTCGTCATGTAGGGACACTGGTACAGTCCTGCGTTGTTGACGAGCACGTCAATCTTGGACTCTTCCTAATGGGTCAGAGACATTTCAGACTTAATACCAGACTCAAGGAAGGAATAAGGTTTTTTATTAGAAATTTTACTGTTGAGCCACTTGTAACAACAACATACTTTTAATATATCTTATATATACTGCAGTCCTTTACCTTGAACCTGCATTAATCAAAGCCCTGATTCATTATCTGAAAAGTCTTTTGGTGTTCACACTGAGACACCCAGTGGTTGTGGGAGGTAAATGTTGGCTCACGGGAAAGAAATGGTGATATGGTAAAATAATAAAAAATGCAGTATTTCACAGAAATATCCCAAAGGAAAAAAACACTGCTGATCTTTTATGACTGACATTGCTTAAAGAGTTGTAACAATGTGGAAGAAGTCTGAAACATAAATTATGTCACAAATCAAAAAGTCTGAATAAAAAGAGCCACGATAGGTAGAGTGAGATCAATTATACAATGAATGCACAATATTTCAATTAATCTTTTACTTGTTTTGAGCTTTTAACTTATCGCTCTTAGTGTTTCTGTCATTATCTATCTCCTTGTTTCTTCCTTTGCTTTTTCTTTCCCTCTATTTTCCTCCTTAATATGTGTTTTATGCACCAAAAACCAAAGAAAATAAATCTCTTGTATGTTGTAAAACTGACTCGACCTTGACTCAGGAGCAAATGTTTTTAAGATATAATAATCTGATATATATTGTTATGATGATTATTATATTTTGGACATGTTTTCCAGCTCTAAAATAAAGTATTTGTCAGAAATCAGATTTTTTTCATCCTGGCTGAATTAGAGAACTTTTAAAGTCATTTCTAAAGCAGAACAGAACATTAATGAATAAACTGATGGAGAAACTAACTCCTCCACCATCACACTCACCTGAGAAATCTCCTCACAAAACCTCCGGACTGACCCAAGAGAAGCGAGGTCCAGGTGTTTGACAACCACCTCCCCCTGCTCCGCCCCAGCCTTCCTCCGGATGTCCCGGGCCGCTTCCTCCGCGCTCCCCCGGTCCCGACAGGCCATTATGACCCGGGCCTGGAGCTTCAGCAGCTCCGCGGACAGGGCCCTCCCGATACCGCTGTTAGCCCCGGTCACGATGACCGTCTTCCCCCGCATCGTACCGGCCGCATACCGGAGCAGCTTGCCGGCTTTTTTCGCTGGAAACAAGCGGCGCATGAGGACGAGGACCCCGCCGCCGACAACAGCGGCGATCAGCACCGCGGCGGACATGGAAGCGGGAACCGGAGACAGGTCAGCGGGGACGAGGTGGGAGTTACGGTGTGTTATGTATCCAAGTTACAAAATGACCCCGGAAGTAATTACTACACCAATCACAACACACACATATCAGCGTCACACTAAATATTGTGGGTATTGCACTTGATCACTAATAACACTGTGATGCTAATAATGATGACAATAACAATGAGTATTACAATAATAATATAATTTAGTTAGTAGTGAAGCAGCAATGTCAGCATGGCTAATAAGAGCAAGCTAACCAAGCTAGCTGCGTTAGCTTGTTTTCAGATGCTCTAAAACTACTTCCGGGGTATTTTTTTTAGCAACCGAACCACTTCACACAATACACTAATTTTAGCACCACACCTGTTTAACAACATTAATAAACACAGAAGACGTAATAATTTAGTTTATTTATAAAAGAGCAGACTATCGGCTGTGCTCGGCTTTGTGTAGATATCCATAATTAATGATAGATCATTTTCACCAGTCTTTTTCTATCTCCTTGTAAGTTACTTGTCTGTCTGTCTGTCTGTCTATATGGATAAAACAAGCTATTATAAATTAATTAAGCACAGTAATTGTTGCATAGCAGTAGTAGCAGTAGGCTACCAGTATGAGGGGTGTGAGGGGCTATAATTTTCCAAAAGGCAATTTTTGCAGTAAAATAGTTTGTGCTTTTCGTCCCAGTCTGACATAATCACCAATTTTGTTGTATTAAATCGTAACATTACAGTTCTGAAACATACTTCGCGAAATTGTTTATATAATTACACAGTATCATATATTTGAGCAGTTTTACAACATACTCTTTTCAGCCTGTCTGTCGTTTGTGAATGAACTAGTGCAGTTATACACATGCTGCTCTGCTAGTGCTGATCTGACTCATAAATATTCATAATTTATCAGCCTTCACTCTCTCATGGTCCGCTGCCACGAAACAGATTGAACTCATAAAGGTCTCAGGGGCTGTTGACAAGTTGCTTCACTTCCTCTTTGCCTGCTGTTTCTCCAGTTGGGTAATTCTCTTCGTTTTTGTCGGGGTTTGCTGTATTTCCTGTTCCTTGATGGCTGAGATACAGAGTTAGAAGGGAAACGCGATGTACTGCAGGACACAGTGTGTTTTAACAGCAACTTAAAAACACTGTTATCGAATGCCTCCGGATATCTGACTCCTCTAAATGTGTATTTGAAGGGGAATTTCTTCCAGCTGTGGTAACAGGACAAAATGATGTATCCCTTCCAAGTGACCTTTATTCTGGCTTTAATCCTCTTCACTTTAAAAGGTGAGAAATACTTATTAACTTATTAATATCTTAATTTGTCTTGTCGGAGGTGAGGTATGATGTTTAAATGCAGATGCAGGACCTGACTTGTCAAATGCTGCTATTAGAGCTCTGAAAAATGCTTCTTTTGTTTTGGTTTCATAACATAGTGGTTGACATGGGAGTAGTTTTTAAAATTCCTAAACATCTACACTTCCCAGGTTACAGCTCTTATTCAACAACATATTTAAAACAACCACAATTGGTAGTTTTTAGTATTTTGAGAAATATTACAAGAATTCTCAAATGTGTAGCTTGTCTTGTTCGTATGCAAGTGAACTGTTAAAAGACTTTTGAGGATACATTAATGTAGTACTTTTTGTTATTCTATTTACTGGTTGGGCTGTAACGTTCACAAAGCACTTTATAATATGTTTCTGTAACAGTCAAAGTATTTCGAGTCATATTAGTCCAGTGAAGAGATTCAGTCCCTGAGTCTGTAATATCTTAAGAAAAGCTGCAAATGTTTTTAAATGCATTTAAAGTTGAACATTTTGTTTCCAGAAAATCTGTTTATCTCTGTGACTGGAATATAACAATGAAGTAGTGTTGGAGTGGCTGATGTGTGGAGCCCACATTTCTGCTCTGACTGAAACAAGATATTTCTCTAATGGGCTCTTCATACCATCTGAGCTATAATAAAATATCTCATGGCACTAATGTACTCTAAATGAAAGTGTACTCTTCCTGTGCCGCTGCTTCAAATGGAAGTCTAAGTCTGTTTAAAATCCTCAATCATGTAGATTTGGATGTTTTACTGCATGTGAGGGGGAAAACCACAGCACATCCCTGGAACTCCCCAGTGTCCGCCTCCTCAGACTCTTTATCACTGCAATTATAAACAAGTCAGTATAAAGAGTTGACTGAATCCAGAGGCTGACAATCAGATTAAACAGTAATTTCAAACAAGCTGCTTTCAGGAATACACTCAACTCAACTCAACTTCAATTTTCCTGAAGGTGCTGTGTGTGAGAACGCAAATATCTGAGTCATTTTCTTTGGACATTTTCTGGAATGTGTGCTGTAAACAATTAGTCCAGACTGGACAAACTTAACACCTTTTGAAGCTACAACAGGTTATTTTTCATGTTTGTAAGGAGTGGGTGAGGTGAGGGATGTTCAGCTGCAACATGCAATTTCAACATTAGATATCACAAAATTCTACACACTGTACCTTTAAAACCTTAAAGAACTACATATTTTATAGCTGCTTTGTCTTTTGGTAGCTTCTGTCATCTTTCTGTTAGCTTGGCTGAATTATTTGCACAGATATCTTCTCATATAACTCTTGGCAAGAAGACATTTATTTCACAAGATGTCAAAGTGTCCGTTAATGTAACGGCTTGCATCATTAGCACTAGAGTTTCCTTTGCATTTTGAAGTGTTGAATAACGCTGTCACTTCCTGCAGGCCAGCACATGAACAGCTGTACTGTTACCCCGAAAGATCTGTACATTGAGCTGGGATCCGACACTGTGGTAGATTGCAAGACGTCATGTGTCAGTGGCAAAATCTTCTGGACTCTGAACAACAAACGCATCGACGAGCGTCTGTCAAAAACCATCAACACCTCACTCACCATCCTGTCACTGACCAACTTCACCCAACAGAGAGCTATGCTGCAGTGCCACAGTGCAAATACTGAGCAAGTCCTTGGCGGCACCTTCATCAGCACCTACAGTACGGAACATTTTATATTGTTTCATTTAGATGACATATATCTATATATATATATTTATCATGCAATCCTTTTCTCTTTCCACAGCAAAACCCAGCAAAATATCATGCAAGTTGCATTATAAAACTCTATCCGAGGGTGTACCACAACTGTTCACGTGCAACTGGCAGCATAAGATTAATTATTCACAAGGAATAAATTACACTGTTTTGTGAGTAGCTTCGTGTTTCTTTTGTTTGTGGAAGAATTATTGTGGTAACATTTATATTTTCTTAGTGATTTATCTGCTTAACTTAAAACATACTGTATATGTTTCAGTGTCTCTTCATCAAGTGATTCCATGAGTGAAATGTGCAGCTCGCATAAAACCAGGTGCACCTCCACAAATATATCTGGTAAAATATACCTGACCAGTTACTTCAATGTTACTGTGAGAGCTACAACTAATGCTTGGAAAACTTACTCCGACCCTCAGGAATTTTATCCCTATTCCATATGTAAGTATCAAGAAGTACATTTAGTAATTTCTCAATTATTTCTATGCTCATTTCTGTATTTGAATGTGCTGCTATGATTATGTTCCCCCAGTGGAAATTGTCCCTCCGAAGATAAACGTATCCGTCAAGTCTGCTAATAATGTGTCGATTCAGTGGAAACGCTCCGCCGCCAGGAGTAGGGAAGACATAAACTGTGAAGTCAAATACACTGAGGTATTTATATATATATATATATATATTTATATATATAGGTATAATATAATGATGGCATTAAGAAATACTCTGAAGTTTTTTTAATATGAAAAATAAAAATCTACTCTGGCTTGGTTTGTTGATAATTTAGTGAAATCACATTTTCAAAATGTGATAGTAGCTGGTAGCTGGTTATCAAATACTTCTGGTGGCTAACAGATGCTACCTCTGTTTGCCTTTTCTCTTCCAGACTGTCGGTAACAAAACTCCAGAGGTAAGAGACATTTCTCCCTGACACCTCAAAGGGAATTAATTTGAACCATTTTCTCTAACTGATATCCTTTCCTTTTTTCTACAAGGTGCTCAGTCATATTTTAAAGCCAGGAGAAAATGGGAATGTATCTAAGAAGCTAAACATCTGCACAAAATACAATGTTTCAGTCCGCTGTGCTTTGAAAAGCGCCCCCTGGAGCGAGTGGAGCCCGGAGAAGGAGGTTCTGACTGAACTTAATAGTAAGAAGAAATGTTTGCTCAAAACACTTTATGAAATGTGGACCTGTGTTTATTCAGCCATTCTAATAAAAGGGGATCATTTCCTTTCCTTGTTTGTTGATTTGTATGTTTGTTTTTAAGCAAGATTACACAAAACAAATTAACAGATTTCTACTAAACTTGGTGGAAAATAAGTATAGTTCTATCATTAATTATTTGCATCTGTTGAAGTTTTTGGTTTCAGTTCGAGGTGTGAACAGTGGTCGTGTTGTGTAGTGTTTTTCCTTGTATGTGTATTCCAGTGTGACCGTTTGATCATTTGTTCACAGAGAGTGATGTCAAGCTGCACCTGTGGAGGACAGTAACCAAACCAGATACAAATGGAATCAGAAAAGTTCATGCCATGTGGATGGTAAGGAGCTCTCTTAATGTTTGCTTTGTTTCGCTTATTTTAAAATTCACTTCCTTTTTTATAACCCACATTTTCCCAAAAAAAAAAAAAACGAGTTCCTTGCATCACTGTGTTTTTCAAACTGTCTCTACAGCCGATTCCCGCAACATGTGATGGGACATTTACCTACGCAGTCAGACAGATTCCCTACAAGCAACACACAACTGGGGTCAATTACACGGAGACTTTATGCAGCAATTCAACTTGTAATGTTGAAGTGAATGAAGACGAACACAGAATAAATCTCAGAGTGTTCAATCATGAAACTCTGTTTGCCGAGGACTCTGTTTACGTTCCAGCCACTGCAGGGAGTGAGTCTTAATGTTACAGATTTTCCTTTTTAGCAATTTATTGATTTACTTGTTTACAGTGTATTTGGCCTCATGCTGATGTTCGTGATGTGGCATCAATCAGTTTCTTTTCTCTTTGCAGGCCTCCGTCACGTTACTGAAATCCAGACTTCAGCTGTAGACGGTGTTGTCCTGGTCAGCTGGACGCCTCCTGTTCAGCCAGTCAGAGGTTACATGATCGACTGGACCCATGATGGAAAACAATATTACTGGAATGAGAGCAAATACACTAACACGTCGCTGTTTGGTGAGTGAACAGACCTGAAATGTAAGATGAATGTCAGATAGATGATATATGGATGGATGTGTAATAACCCATGACTGACTTAGGAGCTATGACTTAACTTGGCTGACCACAAGATCAATTAGCGTCTCATCTTTCATCATTCAAGTGTTGCAAATAATGGATACACTGCTCGGGAAAAAGCTGCTCTGTAATGCATTTGCTCGTAAAATTTCATCATTGAAAGAGGTTTTGAGAAATGTGACTCACTTCTCACAGAGATGACTCACCACATTTAGTGGTAGACAGTTTGTTCTTTATGCAGAATCCTATTTGCGAGTCACTCTCAGCTGTTGATCATGATTTTTCACATGGTTTTTAAAGCATAGAATAAGTAATTAAAGCCAAACTATAGTTATCTCTTCTTAAATGATAAGAACTACCTAAAAGGATAGAAATAATCTTTGGGAAAAATTTACTTGATGTTTACTTTGCCTTTTTAGTTTAATTCATTTCGCGCATTTACTAACACAAGCTGTTTTCAGGCATGAACTCAGGAGACTCTTGGGTTCGGACTTTATTGGAAGTTTATCTTTCACACATGAACAACACAGCAGGAGATTCTCCACTCATACGTGTTCACAACAGCACAGAAATGTCTGTCAGTGTATTCTACATGAACGGTACCCGACTCACTCACTCTGAATCCTGCGCATGATCTCCTTCTGATTCAGACATTGATTCTCCAGAGCTTTCACTCAGGACTGGTAATGGTTTGCTGCTTGGCACTGTGTCCAAAGATCGTAAACTAATATCAAATATCATCACCCAGGTTGTCTGTGTTAATAAAAGTACAATATGCTGCTGTCTATCCTTTATTAGATTCTCAAGAGTCTTCCCTTTCTTTCAGACCTCCTTGATAAGAAGCAATACAACATCACAGTAACTCCCCTCTTTGATGACAAGACGGGTCATGGCTCACAAGCCGTTCAGATCTGCTCTAGAATAGGAGGTACAACACTCTTAATGCTTTATAATGACTTTAAAAAAGTTGAACCACAGTCTAAATGTGAAAACATGTACTCCACAGATCCAGCGAACATTACTATCGACAGTGTTCGAGCTAACGACAGAAGTGCCACTGTGAGCTGGATCACAAAGTCGCAGGAGGAATGCAGTGGGGCTGTAATCAACTACACTGTCTTCTGCAGCACTCAGGAAGGACCAACGCTCAGTAAGGCCAGCCCAGACTTGTATCAAGAGATTTATTTCCTCTGATAATTCTATTCATGATATTTCTGTGATGGTTTTCTCCTAGATGTAACTGTAGATAGCACAAAGCGGGATGTATTTCTCAAAGATCTGAATCCAAACACCCAATATAGCATCTACATCGAGGCCACAGCTTCCACTGGAACTTCTAAAAGCAGAGAGAGTCTTTTTAAAACCAAAACATTTGGTAAGTATTACTTTGAAAGGGCTGAGGGCATTTCTGGTTTTCAGAGGAAATCTTTTTTTGGTTTTATGCGTACACCTGCAGCCATTACGAATTTGCATATTTCCCTAGCCACCCCGGGATGATGGATTAAAACATTAGAAAGTTTAGAGCTGCACACGCCAAGGCTCATACATTTTGCTGTGACACCAACACAACTGAGATTTGAACATGCTCTCGCTGCACCGTCTGATACTTCTGTCCTGTTCTGATGTAGAGGGAGAGTTTCTTTCTCTCTCGCATTTCTTTAAGGAGACACGTTTAGTGTTTTTTCTATTACAGATCCGAGGATGATCAAAGTGCTCAGTGTCTCTGGAAGCATCGTCATAATTCTTCTGTTATCTCTTGGAATATGCTGCACAATTCAGTAAGTTTCAAACTTTTGGTGTCTGTCATGATTTAAGAAAGGTTGATTTCAAATTCAAACAATGAACCAAAGGACATTTTCATGTAAGCAAATTGAAAAAAAGCACAAATTTACACATTAACACTTAAGATTGTGGCCATGAAATCTTAAAACTTTTTTTTAGATGGAAGAAATTCAAGGAGAAGCCAGTGCCGGATCCAGGACACAGCTCTCTGGCGTTGTGGCTGTTACCAGATCATCAAAAGGTGAAGAGTGAAATGGGAATAATGACTTTATTATTATTCTGTATACTAGGTTTTATCTCCTGAGAATGGTACAACAACAAATCACTTAATGTCTCTTTGGTCTTTTCTTTTGCATGAATGTTATGTCCGCAGGGAATGTGCCTCTTCCAGGCTTTCAGTAATCCGTCTGAAAGCTTCTGTGACAGGGTTTATACAGAGGAAATGCAGAAAAAGCCAGCCCGTCCGTCAGCTAGAGGCCATAACCCAGCCTTTGATGAAGCTGAGGAATATTACATTCCAACCGCAGCTCGTACACCAAACCTACAAATTGATAAACCAGATGAACATGTTGAGACACACCTGTGCTTGTCTGAAGAATCCACAGAGTTACTGTCAATGAGGAACAAGCCTGGCAGCCCCTATCGGAGTCAGAGTTCTGTGGAAAAACCTGATCAGAGGACAGATAAACTAAGTATGCGTTTTCCAGTAAAACAGCCAGAAAAGAAACCATTGATGACTGTTTATGTCACTTTGAACATGTTGAAAGAAGGGCCGTTGAGAGAAACAGAATCAAACTCCAAGATCCAGGAATGTATCAGATCTGAATAAAGATTTCCTAATTCATGTTTCCACAGTGGGTGTTGCTTGGTACTGTGACCAATTATCGTAAACTAATATAAGACTTCATCACCCAGGTTCTCTGTGTAAATAAAAGTACAATATGCTGCTGTCTATCCTTTGTGAATACAAATGTGTCATATATATAATTAAACAATGTGTATATTTACCTGATGTAAAAAATATTGTGACAACTGTATGTGCCATTAGTAACAGTTTTTTATGTGGATCTATGTGGACCAAATATTCTGCACTGCAAACTATATTCTTTATTTTGTTGTACAATTTATATTATAGTGCATGATAACCCCCACCAGTGTGTTCCATCAGTAAGCAAATGTTAATATAGGAACTGATATGTTGTTGTTAACCCCATAATTTTATCAATGTATATAATAAAAATAAGATTTCCTGTCAAACATTCAGAAATTCCTAAATGTTTCAGACTTTGTTAAACACCACAGGGCAGTGACAGTCTTATTTTATTTGATGCTATACACACTCAAAATAAAAATCTGTGTACAATTTCATGTTTAAATTGTGTATGGGCAGTGATAGTGAAATTATGGTGAAGTACTTGCATTTCAAAGTGATGAAGGTTTTAGAAAACCACCACATTCCACACTTTCATTAACAAAACTATACAAAATAAAAATGGAATAAATCATTTTCTAATGGAGTTCAATATGTTAAAGTGGTATGTGTTGAAACGTAAATAATTTGTAACAAAGGAAAAACGAGGAAATCAGATAGTATAAGTTATAGTTCAACTTCTATTCACTGTCTTTTTTGGAATGAAGGCTTATTTTTGTTGAAGGCATTTGTGACCCTGCACCCAGCGCCCACAGGGGGCAGTGTGACGCATGAACTCGCCTCAACTTCAAATAATAACAACCAGAAGAAGAAGGGTAGTTTATGTCCTGAACTAGCTAGCTAGCTAAATTTGTGACTGCAGTGGATTAAAGGATAAACAGACAAGAAATACATCGCCGTCGCTGGGACATTGATATGCCGAGAGTCGCTGGAACATACGTGTCGTGTACTGGCCCGTCGGCCCGTCAGAAAGTTGACCGGCCTTAAATTTGTTGGATGATTCGCCTGAATTAGCAGCTGAAGGGCCTCGAGTCCACGGTGCTCGGGTGAACGACAAACCGGGGGATAGCCACAACCTCACGGCGGTAGCATTAAGCCGCAGACTGCTGGTTACCGAGGATTCACTGCACCCGAACATGTCACACTCCGGACCCCCTCCTCGGTGGCGGAACTGTCCCAGAAAGGGATATCCTGTGGCGGGTGAGCAGAAAAACAAAAACCCAAACAATTCAACGTTCGGTTGAAGCAGCTTAATCTCCGCAGTGCTAACGTTAGCTCCGTGCTGTGTCTCACAACATGCTGGTGCACCACTGCCTGGTCAATGTGTCCTGCACTTACAATCACTGTGTTGTTATCTCGGTTCATTCTCGGTCCCTTAAAACGGCCAGGTTAGCATCACAATGTGGCGATGTTAGCAAATTGTGTAGTCCACGTTGACATCATTTTACATATAGGAAGTCGTGGTTGGTAGTAATTGGACAGCCGATTTTTTGAATGAGCGCAGTGGATAGTATTAGTGCAAAGTTAGTTCAAAATCAGTGTGAACTTCTGCCATTTCCAGCGAGACAATCTTTATTTGCCGCATTTTCAAATGGAGCTCGGTGTGAAGCTATATTCGGGTGCGTGTTGTTTAGCCGACTTCGCGCATGTAGCTAACGGGCTGTCAAAGCTCAACTCCTCCCTGATAAACGTGGAATTTGCGAGCGTCTAACTCTCACTTTACTTTGAAATAACTAAAGTTTGCAGCCTGTGCTGTGTCACTTAGTTTACCAGACTGACACGGCGCTAAAGTTGTGTGTTGTTGAGTTTTAGCCTTAGCTAGCTGCGTTGTCGAAGCATCACGTGTCAAAACAAACCGGGAGCATGGTGCACTGTACACGATGCTGTGTTTCTGTCACATGTTCTGAAACATAGGTGCCACATCTCCACACCCAACACCGCTTCACATGTTCTTCACACCAGTGCGTTCATCTAGACAGTGATCCAGATTCAAGGCACAGACGCATTCCTCTTTAGAAGGTATCTGAAGTACACATGCTGTATGTTAGTTTATTGGTTATCATAGGACCGCAGGACCTACTTCTACCTTGATTTGTACTATTAATCAAAAGTATAATACACTACCTTGGCCTCTCCCCACAGAGTTATTTAATCCTCCAATCTTATTTGCTTTAGTTGTGAAATGTTTGTTAAAGGTTTGAACCCAGTTTCAATCATGTACAGCCGTTTGTTTCTCTGTTTTGAAAAGCATTGTACAAAAAAAGTTTATTCTAGTACCAGGGCAAAGTAGGCAACTAGCCTAGGGACCCCAGACTCCCAGGTTTACTCCGTATTTTTTGGGTTTTCATATTTTCAATAATCACAAACTTGTTGTAAATGTGTACCAGTGAGGGATGATATCAGTTCTGATGGGTCGTCCATCTTCCACCCGCTCTTTTTGTGGGACCCCGGATGAAACTGCAGGCAGAAGAAGCTAATTGATTTAGTTCCTTTTATTACGTGTCAAGCAATTCACACACAGCCAACTTTGGATGTGGTCATATTATTGCATTAGAGAACTCGGAGTATTTCCATTATAAAGATGTCTGACAATTCAGGTTAACATTCCATAATATCTTGTTTAGTCTGAAGAGCTGTCAAAGGTATAAAGATGTTGGGGTTAATATAATAGGAAACTATACGGAAAATGGCAAGTATTTACATTTTAAGAGCTTGGAACATGTTGATTTTTTGGCATTTCTTCTATAAAAAAGACTTTGATGATTAATTAGCTATCAACATCACTGCCAGTTTATTTTCTGTCCACCAGCTAAGGGATTAATCATCTGATCATAGAGACGTCGTTGGGCACTATGGGGAATATAATGGAACTGTCAAGTGTAACGGAGATCAGTCGGGGCCTAAACAACATACATCTGGTCATGCAGCTTTAACGCATATCCTCAAATGATTTGCCAAGTGATTCATCACATTTTTATCTTTAATTTGGTAGTGTGATTGAGTGTTGTCATTGTGGTAGCTTTGGATTAAATTTATATAATGTTATACTGAGTTTTTTTTAAATTCAGGCAAATATATGATGGATGAAAATATCCTGTAAAGGACTGTGGAAATGGTGTGAAGCCTCTAACAAAAATATCCACCTTCAAGGGTCTCTACTCAGAGCTCAGAGGTTCTATACTTCACACTTTTATGGTTTTATTTTCCCTCTTAGGTAAATTCCTACCAATGAAAACAATGTTGGGCCCCAGATACGATGACCAAGTTGCAGAGGGGAACAGATTTCATCCGAGCATGCTGTCCGACTTCTTAAAAAGTCTAAAAGTAAGTAACTCCACCCTGACTTAAATTCAGATTTTGAAACTGAAAAATGAATGACGTGTTCTGTTGTGTCCGTCTCCAGGTGAAAATGGGTTTGCTTGTGGATTTGACGAACACTACGCGCTTTTACGACCGCAACGACATCGAGACAGAAGGCATAACATATGTGAAACTACAGTGTAAAGGGTACGAGTGGAGTTGCTATCATGAGTTAGATGAATTCTAAGTTGTTCATTCAATGATAATTATGTGGTAAGTCTAATGATCCACTGTTTGTTTCAGCCATGGAGAATGCCCTTCAATAGACACCACTCAGAGTTTCATCACACTCTGCGAAAGCTTCACAGAGAAGAATCCAACAGAATTGATAGGTAAGCGAACCTTAGTTTAACGGTTAGATCCATCTTTCTATTATCCAAACCACTTATAATTTCCCCTGGACTGGTCACCTGCGTATCACAGCGCTAACACATAGAGACAAACGGCTATTCACTCTCATATTCACACCTACGGTCAATTACAGTCTCAAATTCACCTAACCCAAATTTGCATGTCTTTGGACTTTGGTAAGGAGCCAGAGTACCTGGAGAAAATCCACACAAACACGGATAGAACATGCTACCTCCACGCAGAAAGAGCCCTGGCCCATTTCGTTGCAGTTTCTGGATTCTTTCAATAAATGTAGGTGTTATTAAGGCAACATTTAATATGAGCATAAAGGCTCATTTTTTAATTCGTGAAAACTCATCAATCATATATTTGCCACTTGAATTCGCGTTAATTTGTGAAACTAATAAAGATTTATATTTAAATGTTGTAAAATAATTGCATTACCCTACATTACCAGCAGAGAGCAGCCTTACTCTAAAATTGAACAGGTGCAAATAGAAGCAAGGTAATGTCTGATTTAAAAAATATTTTTTCTGCAATAGTATTTAATTATTATACTCTTTATTTATAATTATTATACATCAAACAGCTTCCCTGTATGACCGGTCTGCTCAGTGTGCTCATGTGTTACTGTCACGAGTTGCACATGTATCTTTCCAGATGTGCACGACCGTTAAACAGATGTCCTTATCAACATAGTCTTGTGCAAGTCATTTTATTTTTGGTTTCATAAGTATGTAGGAGTTCCACATGAGAAGCAAAACGCTTCCCTCCCACAGAACACTGTGTAGGTGATTTGTAGGTGAAAGGGCATCAAAAGGCACCAAGGCTGAAACCTGGTTCAACATGTGGGCTGATGATTTTTTCTCTGTTCTTCTGTTGTATTTTTGATTTCCATGAAAATTGTATAGTTATGAGTGGCAAGAAATCAGTGTACCTTTTTTTTTATATCAGTATTTCCTTAAAGAATTCTGCATTACTCAAACATTTTGTTAATTTCAGTGACGTTATGAGGAAAATAAAGTAATTTTTCACTTGATATCTCATTTGAGGGTTTAGAGGCCTCAAGATAATTTTCAGATTAGAAATCTTTAAATACAGCGGCCGCCATAATTGATATGAAGAAACTGGTTGAAATGAACATAAACATTTTTAGCAACAGCATCAGTTCCAGTTCGATCAGGACCCTATCAAGTCCACATGGACATCCCTGGGATATTGAACTGTACTTTCACCTCAGTGACAGCAGGGTGCTCTCTTATATCACCCTCACACCTTCTCATCCTGTCCAGATCCGCTCTTACCTTTTTAACAGCTGTTTGATGTGGAAATCAGAACCGCTCAAACGTCAGCAGAACCTGTGAACGCCACATCCACGATGCCTGGTCTTGAGCCGGCTGGTGATTAGGATTAGTTGTCTCTGCGGTACACATGTGCAAATTGGACGGTTTGGCTGCTCAGTCTGATCCTCGTCCTCTGACACTGGTTCATTTTATCTTCATTAGCGTTGCCGGGCTAACCTCCTGTACTGGGGAATTATGAGATTCAGATGGTTTGATTTTGTGTGGCTGAATGCTGCTGTGTACCTTCTTTACAATGATTGTGGAGATGTCACTTTGGTTACCATGTTTTTCCGTTCCTCATTAGTCCCTCCTGGAATGAGTTTCTCCTTTTATAGATAAGTCCGGTTCACTTAAAAATGGACAGTGCACTGTTTGTCTGTTTCTCTTTTTCATTTTCCCTTTTCATACGCTCTTTACCTCTCTGAATGTTTCATCCATCTCTGTGTGGCCTGTGTGTACGCGACGGCTGGTGTCAGGCTGGTTTTTGATGTTGGTATAAAGGCAGGCCCCCTCTCTAAGAAGAGGGGGATCTGCCGGTGAGTCTTTTGACGGTGTGACTTGACATTCTCGTTCAAAACATGGACTCAGCCTGAATTCATTTCAAAGAGGACTTTTTGTGTTGTGTTAAACCACAAGGCCCAATTCCAATAATGATGCAAATGAGTGCTGATAAGAGTTTCTGTATATTGCACCTCCTCCAATAGTGTTTTGTAAAAGCTTGTGATGTATTTTAAATGTAAACTTAAGGTGGAGTTCTGAGTTTTGGTCCCTCTTTGTCCTGAAGGTGTTCACTGCACACACGGCTTCAACAGGACAGGCTTTCTGATATGTGCGTACCTGGTGGAGAAGATGGACTGGAGGTAAGGGCTGCCCCCCCCATCGATCGTCTTGCCTGATAAAACAAGCCATACAAAATTCAACCCCCCCAAACACACACACAAATCTTCACAAAGACGCTGGCCGGTTAACAGTGACAGGGTTCATAACTCCACAACAGAGATGTTTGAATAATTTACCACAGCTCAGCAGAGGTGGGATAGTAGGGGTGGGTGGGGATAAGCCTTAAGTGAGAGGTGGAGCAGCAGTCTGAGGAGGTAGAATCCCTGGAAGCTGTATGCGAGCAGGCTCCATAAAACCCTCCCACCACTTCCTGTGTTATGAATATTCTGAGAGCATTTTCAGCCCTGGTCCAGTATCATGTGACGGTAGATAATTCACCATCAAACGATTAACGCTGCTGTATTTTTTATATATTTATATATTTATTAAAAAGTCAGCATTTAGTCGCAGTCATATTTTAAAAGCTTATGTGCAAACAAGTACAACATGTTATTATAAATAATTGAATAAATAGTAGAATAATGAAACAGCCAACGGGTTTAGGACCTCCAAAAATATTCATGAAATAATTATCAGTCCCTACATATAATTAACATACTCTCAGGAATAAAAGATTAAACCTTTTAAAAAGACGCCCCGTCTGTGTTTTCTTTTTCTTATCAGCATCGAAGCAGCTGTGGCTGCTTTTGCCCAGGCCAGGACTCCAGGGATCTACAAGGGAGACTACCTCAAAGAGCTTTTCCGTCGCTATGGAGAAGAAGTGGACGCACCCCCGGCCCCTGCACTGCCCGAGTGGTGCTTTGACGACGTCAACGATGGGGAAGTGGACGATGACGGCAACGCGGTCGGCCAGGAATCTGGCCCCAGCTCCTCTGGGTCGGGGCCTGGCAAACGAAAGAAAGAGAGGCTAAAACTGGTGAGACTTCCGGGAAGCGCCGGGAAATGGACTTTCAAGTAGAAAGTGCGTGGGTCCCTCTCTGCATGACACGGATCCCATGCAGGGCGATGCAGCCTCTCTAGGGAGGCTTCCCTTCTAAGTGATGAAACTCTTCAACTACATATAATAATCCAGTAAATTGAATGTTCAGATTGAGAGAAAATCAAGCTTTACATCTCCTCAACTGCTGGCAAAGGTATAATTTGGATTAGATGTCAGGCATGTCTTGATTTGGCGCTTTCATCAGCGCTGTGAAATGAGAAGTGTAGAATCATCTCCAGTTGCATGTAATTAGGTTTTCTTCTGTTTGCATCCAACAGATGCTCTCATCCGAATAATCTTGAGTATTTACAAGAAGCTCAAATTAAAAGGGCAGCATCAACATTTCCCGCTCTCAGAGTAATGGAGGCCGAATGAAAAGACAGAAGTAAATCAAAACATAGAATTACATTTACACTCAAATACAAACTGTAGAGTTTTACCAGCGTTATTGCTCAAGTAACCAACTGAAAACCTGAATCAAGGCAAATCTAATAGTTGAGAATGTGATTCGACAGAGAGGTCTGGGGGGAAGAAGCCAGAAGAGGGAGCAGCAGCAGCAGCTCCTCTTGCAGACTACATTACTTCACTGTCATTAAGCAATACTGTCTCTGGGTTGAGTGGTTTGCCCCTCAGTCAGACTGGTTGGTGGCCAGTTGGCTATTACACAGACAAATATATGCTCGGATGATGTGAAAAGTAGAAACGCTGCTCTGTTATTTTGGAGAGCACGAAGATTAATCAATGATTGGCTCCTTAGTGTTGGAAAAGTGTTCCTGCGCTCCCAGGTTAGAGATACTGGATGTGGTCAAAGGAGTCAGGTTTCAGTCTCTCGTGGACTCGTGTGCACTCTGCTATAAAATGCTCGATCTATGGAGGAATATAAAAGTAGATGCCCTCAACACTTAATACCAGACTGGAATACAATATGGTCATCGATCAACTTTTTGAGGAATCCGAATGATGTGATGTGATCCTAACTTTTAAAAATACAAGCACATCACAGTTGTTCAGAGCCAAAGGCGACGTGACATGTTGAAGATATTACATTTTCTACCGCATGCAGTTCTACGTGAACGGCACCCCCCCCCCCCCTGTTTTACCTGTACAACGATAACCGTTGTTTCAGTTTTATGTGATTTTTTTTTTTTAGGATTAGAAGTGCAACAAATATTTAATGTGCCATTTTTTAATTTATTTAATTGATCAGTCGTTTTGGGCAATAGTGCGTTTAAGAAAAACTTTAAATGATGAATTACTTGTCCGAAATATTCCAGTTTGATATTTCTTTGCGAGCTACTGGCCGATTAATCAACTAATCATATCAGCTCTATGCATATCACGATGACAAATGCGGGCTACATTTGTCATCGTGATATGCATCAAAGTCAGATAACTGAATATTCTCAACCATGTCACCCAAAGCTGCTCACAGTGCACTTTATTATCTTTGGTCTTACAGATATATTTAACTGTGGAATGTGTTCCCTGAGTATGAGGAGAGATTTATTTAGATGACATTTCCATACTTTAAAAAAAACTTTTTAAGGTGGTTTAGTCTGTCTATCTTGTATTACCTGTAGAATTTTAATAATCGTGATTAATTCAGTTTTCTAAAAAAAAAAAAAAGGCCTTAGAAACTAATGCAACTATTCGCGTGCTGTTGGATGTCACATATCTGTCAGCTGGAAGCCGTAATGCTTCGGAAGTGGACTGTGTGTAGTTGCAGTGCTTGAATGCATTGACCCTGTGCTGTACTGTGCCTAGCAAATTTGAACACTTACCCAATTTTGCTATTTTACTCCGTGTACTTTAACCTCATTTCAGAGGGAAATGGTGTTCCTATTTTTTTCTCAGGAGTAAATCAAAGTCTAAGCATCTTTTTCTTTCTCTTTTCCTCCCAGGGTGCAGTATTCCTCGAAGGCATTACGGTGAGGGGCGTCACACAGATCACCACACAACCCAAACTAGGCGAGATCCAAAGAATGTGTCAGGAGATGTCAGAGTGGGACAGGTAGGACTCTCCGTCTCTCCTTGGCCTCCTTGGCCTCCGCATACCCCTGTGGGTAACTGTGCGTGTCTGTATGTGCATGTGTGGGTGTACTGTTCTGTGTTGTGTTTGATCCATCGGTCCTAAACCACCTTTTCTTTAAGTTCTGGACGGCTTCAGACAACAGCAGTGTCAGACATGTTTTTTCTTCTCTGACTTAATAAGCTGCTAGAGCTTTTTTTAATAAAAATGCATCAAGTCGACTCTACCGCTGTTTGTTGTCGCAGCAGATGAAACATCATGCTGCCATTTCTAATCAATACCTGCTGCTACCATTGTTGTTTCTGTTATACCTCCGCAAGCTTGCATCTCATGTATGTTTTGTATTGGTCTCATTTATGTATCTGTATACTACGTACCATGTATATATACATTTTAGATGAGTTGAAGAATGAAGAGATACTCGTCTGTCGTTGTGATTGATGGTATTTGTATGTGAAGTTAGTATATCTGTAATTGTTCCTCTATTTCTAAGACTCAGGGGTCGACTTTAATTTATCATAAAAAGAGTAGTTTTTTATTTTTATTTTGTCAGTGTTATGTTTTGTTATTCTTTTTCTGTTAAACCTACCAGTGTTTCTGTATCGCAGCTCAGTTAATATTACACATATTGCACCTTCTACAGTTTATTATTATTCTGTAGTTAGGACAGTGTGCCAACACTCAGGAGTGTGTGCATGTCACTTAAGATATAACACTGAGGCAGCTTTACACATCTGGGAAGAATTTGTCTCTTTAAAGTCCTTAAATATATTCAAATATAATGTACTGGGTTTTAGATACTTTTAAGTAAGTCATAATTATGTTAATCTTCATTTAATGCTACTTCCGTCCTGCTTTAAAATATATTTTTAAGAGAAATGTATTGGTGGCCTACATAGTTAGCAGATTTCTGATATTCTTTCATATCTGTTGTACTTGACATAACCTGAAAGTATAGATATTAGTTTTGTCCGGGGTTTGTTAACTTATAAATGAATGTGATCCATTGTGTTTTGATCATTTTTTTCAGATCTGGTTTTCCCGGTGCTCAGCCTGTGTCCATGGACAGACAAAACCTGCGTTTCCTGGAACAGAATCCATACAAAGTCAGCTGGAAAGCTGACGGCACACGGTGGGTGTACTGTTCATGGCTTTTCTTTACCATAAGTAACTCATATTCCCATGTGTCGATACCGGTACCGCAATCTCAGAGCGAATGGTTCTTCTACCCATTCATTAGGCTGCCTATCTGAGTCAATACAGACAGTTTGTGTCCATGGGAGTTGTCCATCAAGGTTTTATTTATCAGAGGTGTCAATTTACCTTCCTGACTTGTTTGTGAAGACTTGAGTGGAATACTAACACAGCTTCTATTTCTTATTTGGTTTTAATTACAGTACCTTTACATAGCTAATAGGCCTCAGTGGTTTTTGTAGCTGTGGAGATGTGGACTGTATTTTTATAAATTGGCTGCGCAGATGGAGCCACAGAGCAAACTCGGATCGTTTTGTCCAATGTAGAATAAGAAATGAGCTCTCTCTTTGTGCTCCTTTGGGGGTTGAATTTGTGTTTTCTTTTGTTTTACTTTCTTGCCAAAAGCTTGTATTGAGGGGAAAGGGGAGTTTTAGTATTCCTGTAGTCTGCTGTCTCTCTCGCTGGTGCAAATATGCAGTGTGCTGGTGAATATTTAATGACTGCAGTCAATTTCAGATTTTTACATAGCGCCGCTTTAATTTCCTCCTAGCAAGGAACAGGTTTGGCCCCAGACCAAGATGCTGCTGATGTGTGTAATCAACTACCATCATCTACGAAAGCTTGGAAGTGTATTAAGAAAGTTTTGCTCTTACATTCAAACAGAGAGACAGATACCCAGCTCCTCCTCTGCTGTCTCATCATCCTGTCCCTCGTCTTTTGCCCTGAAGCTACTTGAGTGTGGAAGAGTAGTGATACCTCATTTCTTCAGTCATGAAAAACAGATAGAACAGTATGCTCGGTGTGAGTCATCCCTCAACGGCAGCACACTCATGTATGACTTTGTCTTCACTTTTTTAGGTAAAGATGGTAGAATGCAAACCTGAGGGATTTTAATAATATAAAATTAACTCAGTCAGTGCACTTTATGAAATCATATACAAAACAAGGTGTGCGTAGTGCTGTTGAGAAAGAAGAGTTAAAAACTATAGAAAGTGTTGTCACAGTCACCTCGATGTATCTTTTGGACTCTTAAGACATATTTTTCCAGAACTGTGATACCACGATGTGCCAGAGGAATATTTTTCCTACATCCTGATCATATATCCGCAAGTTCTTGAGGTTTCTATGACAATCGACTGCAGAAAGTTGAAGCTTTCTTTTCTTTTCTTTTAGTAGACGGTGAACTTTTGATGATTTGTTTCTCTTGTCTGTAAGGTGTCGATGTTCCATTGGCATTCCTCGTGCGTCTTTCTGCTTTGAGCTATGTTGTTGCTTTGTCGTTGTTACATTTCGGTAATAGGGTTGTGCTCTCGATGGGAAAGAGCTTGCATTTATATGCATAAAGTGAATGGTCTTTATTCTGTTTGAGGGACAGCTTGTTCTGAAGCCGCTGGTCTGATATTGCTTCTACTATCTACTATTACCATTCCAGCGAGCTGAGCAATGGATGACAGCTTTTTAAAAGGCTGCTACCTTATTAGTGTCTCGCCTGGACTGCCATGCATTTTAATTTATCCAGAAAATAGCCACGTCTCTCCTGCCTGTTTGGCTTTTGTGTGAAATTGAAATGGCACCAAAGAAGTGACTATGAGAGGTATTCTGGTAAAAAAAAAAGGAAAAGTTATTCAGATTGCTTTGATGTGAGACTTCATTAAATCTAGGTGATATCTCAGATTGATACAACAAAAATGGTTGAACAACCAAGACACAGGGATTTTCTTTGGATCAGTTTGGATTTAAGCAAAATTAATGATGGTATCAATTAGGCCCAATTGATTCTGCTGTTAATCACCATTTTCTGGGCTCTGTTCATCCTAACATGTCTTTAGTCTTAAGATGATTTGTATTCTGAAAAAATATTGCTAATATGTACATAACGTACTTTACATCAGATATGAGAGTTTTGAGCTTTGACTGTGCATTAGCATTGAAATGTACTGATTCCTCTGGTGTACTCAGTTTGTCATTCTCCACTTGAATTGTGTTGAATGTGCAGCGAATTTTCTATTAAATGTCCTGTGTTGTAGCCACCGGCACCTGAGGATCTGAAATGGATTTTTAATGGAAAATTCTTCTCTTCAAGGTGGTCTGGCGAGATTTTTTTCTATTTTGCAATTCGCCTGTAGTTCTCACTAAAATATGAAGTAAAGTATTCTGAGTCCCTCTGGCTCTTCCTTTGTTACTTTGCAGACAATAAGAAACAAATTAGTACTTTTAGAATGAGCAATCTGCTTTCATATGAGAACATTGTAAAAGATCAAGTTGGCAAAATAGTTTGAACGAGGAAAGCCCTGGATGCATGTTATCATGCACTGTTGAAATGCATCGTGGGTCCATTGCTCTGCTTTGCTTGAAGTGTGTGTGGTAGAAGTTGAGAATTAAACTGTGCAAGCAGCAGCTCTGGTACCAGCCAATTCAATATAAAACAAATATACAAGTGCAGGAGCAAGCCAATCAACTCACGTTAATGCTAATATAGTTTCTGACTGACATCAAATGAGCCTGGAGAGACCAGGCAGTTGTTGAACCTGGTATGTGTTCATCTGCTTGCTTACTTCGATTTAGCTTTGCATGGGCAGGCAATTTTGAATGTCCCTTGTGGTTAACTTTGATTGTTTTTTGGTTATCTTAATCGCACCTGCAACAAGTGTGAAGCACCACCTGACAGGTAAACTGCCTTGCTTAGTAGCACGATAACAGGCAAGATTCTGACAAAGTATTAAAGCTACTTCACTTAAATATAAATCCTATGCAGCCATTCATGACAGACATACCGGTCATATAGAGAGAAAACTGTCCGTGCAAGGGAACTGCCAACAGAGGGGCTTCTAATGGGCTTTAGAAAAGACAGGAAAATCAGTGTATTTACCAACAGTTGGGTTTTTAATCAACTTGTTGTAGAGTCTTCTGTCAGGGTTAGATTGGTTTGTGCCCCAGAGAGGAGGAGGAGGACTTGGAAGAAAGAGAGGGGCCAATTATGTGCTTGGGACTTAAAACAAACAATGCTGCTCAACTTCATTAAAGAAACTGGACTTAAGAAAGTCTCTTAATTTTTTTCTCCTCAAACTCCCTGCAGTATCTGAACCAACACTTCAGGCACTGATTTAAAACATGGAATCCATAATCCATTGTTTATTCTGATGCCAGATTAGACCTTTTGAGCGAAAGAGTGTTCTCTGACTATTGGCAGGTTATTTATTAATTGTATTTAACAGTCTCTGTTGGGCTACCATGGTTATACTGAGGTTGCACCATCAANAGTGGCAGTGTTCTCTCATTACCCCAGTGGTGCATGGGTGCTGACCTTGTTTAAACACCATTTAAAAAGCCTAAATTAGCATTTTCTGTTGTTAGATATTTGTAGCAGTTCATTGCCAAATGAAGCCAGATTAAATCCTATAAAATGAGCTGAATAGATGCATTAGTGTAAATACTGGATGTTATTTTGATGTCACTGCCAGCAGTGGTGCTCATTCATTCTGCTTCAACAGCTTTTCTATTGTTCTATTAGCCCAGTGGGAGAGACAGTCAATGTCCAAGTCAGAGGCTGATGTGAACGGTTATTGCCACTAGTCTTCTTGTAATTACTGTTGAATTACCAGAGTGACTCTGGAGGAGGCTTTTGTCAGTAGAGATAGACATTTTACCCTGCTGCAATGACCAGTAATTTATATTTGGCAAAATCGAGTCCTCTTGCCAGCCCAGCTTTCACAAAACTTTGAAGTATGGTAGAATGAAAAAGTTCTTTTAATGACAAATGGTAAAATGCTGTGTAGAAAATTGACTTTCAAGCAAAGCAATTTACACTCAAATGTGTCTCATGCACTCCCGTTGTTGCTTCTTCAGAAAAAGATTAGGCTGCGGAATATAGTTGGTGTCCCACAACATCGTGAGACGGATCGTCTTGTTTTGACTCTCAGCTCTGCTGTTGAAGATGAGAGATCAGCCCGGCCTCTTTTGGGCAAGGAGAGCAGTCCTGCCCGTTGACGCTCTACTAATGATGTGCAAAGCTTGTGGATCTGATCTAAGGCCTCCCCCGGAGCTCAGCTGCTGTCAGTAAAGCCGCGGGACTCGACTGTTAAAGCCGACACAATGGCCGTCTGTGCCTCATTAGGGCTAAAGTGCGCGGGGGACAGGGCTCGGGGATAAGGACAGAATCTGAGCCTCACGGCACCCATCAGGGAACAGGAGCGGAAAGGCGAGGGCGAACAGGGAGGGGGGGGCATACACTTGTGTGAATAAAAGCGCACATGGGATTGAATATTTTCCTTTTTGGAAATATAAAGAGAATTCAGTCTCTGCTGTTACCATAGCTTCAGAGAGAGGGGGGATGTAGGTGAGACTGCACCGAAGAGGACGACAACTGGGAGGTACACAGAACTAATGGTCTCTCTCTGCTTTCTTCTGAACATACTTGACAGTGTTAGCCATGGCTAACTGGCCAATTAGACAGCAGAGGAAGCACTTGTGCTCGGTATAGACCTGTTGTGTCCTTACTGGTTGACAGATCTTCTCCGTAGTGACACTTATCCTATGCGTTTGATCATCTCTCACACTGGTCGTCCTCTTAGATTAAAGAATCCCTCCCTGTGCACACGAGGACCAACCTGTCTGTGGGAATCATCGTTTGCTTTAACATGTTCAGGCATTTCTGTTCCCTCTCCTTATTGCCTGCATGTCTTTTTAATGCATTCATTGTGTGTCCGCTCCCTTCCTGAAAATGGAAGTGCAGCTATATCTGGCCCACTCACCATTCTTTCCTTCACCTCCCACTTTTTTTGTTGTTGTTTTCCCTGCTGGTTTGTAAGACTTTTGGATGACCCTGATTTATATCTCAAGGCTCGTCTTTTGTTGCTCTCTCCTGTCATAACCGGAGGGGGAGCGAGGGTCAGAGTTAGAGTCATCGCTCCACCTCTCAACAGATCGTTGTTAACCGCA